TCTTGAAACGCTACCTCCATTAAACTACTGCAGTAATATCACGAATTAAATTGAGCAATTTAACAAATTTTTGATGCTTATTCGCATCTTCGAAACGAACTTAATAATGTTAAATTGACATAATAAAATCTGTAAATAATTAATTTTTATTGCGAAAAATATTATCTCGGAGTCGTCAGGAGTCGAATCTGGATCTCTTGCATTCCGAGCGAGCGTTCTAACTCTCTAAGAAGTACTGAGAAGTTAGCGTCTCAAGACCGAAAAATCATTTCGGCGCGTGTTTCTAGAGAAGAAGAACTACATATATAGTATATAAATTTACACAAGAATCATACAAGTATTTAAGCTTAATCCAGCTAGACTGTGTAAGGCTTTAATTTCTATCTTAGTTTGTATTATCACATATACGGTCCTATAAAATATTATTTTGATAATAAAATTTTCAAAATTTTATTTTATATTTTGCAAAGTACGATGTGTCATGATAGATATTACAATCGTTCATTCATACCAATTTAGGAATAAAAAAGTGAATATTCATACTGCTGTTTATAAATTAGTGTAGATGAACGATTGTATGTTATGTATGATACATCATATGTATAAACTTTTTTACTGACGACTGAAAAGTGTCAAAAATAATTTTGATATTTTGAATTTTAAAATATTTCTGATTGCCATTTTACAAGTAGAATTCTATAAATAACAGGATATGCTTTTGGAGAGTTTAGTCTTTATTAAATCATAACAATTTTATTACATTACACAACATCATTAATAAGCTTGGCAGAAGATACCATAATTAAAACGGATATAATTACAAAAAAGATTATTATCTTAAGCATCAAGTATACAGCCGTATTATAAAAATAACTCAATTAAATTTTGACGAGTAATTATACCGTGATGGCATCCCCAAAACAAGGAGCGAAATTCAAGTAACAAATACGACAAACAAGAAGCTATTATAGTATTATACGTACAATTGAATTTTCTTCTATTATCGCAGAAGAGAAACGAGAGTGTAAGCTTCGAAGAGCGAGATAGCAAATGCGTTTCGCCGTTTCGATGGGAAGGGATGAAAAAAGGAGGAAAGGATAAGGGATGAAAAGTAATGGCGCGACGAGACTCTCGGCGCCATTATGGTGGAGACGCCACGGCAGATAAACTAGCGGCATGTACACAACGCCCGCGACAGCGGGGTTCCGTTTTACGGAGTATTGCGAGATATGTTTTGCGAATAGATACCCTGCAGAAATTACGACGAATCGACCCACATGGAAATTAAAGCCAAAACTAGTCGCCGCAAGCGAAAGGTGAACTATCAAGGCGCGCGGAGGGCGACCTGGTTACAAAAATTAATTTCGCACTCCTTTGTTCGCGGGTAACGCAAAAATCATAAAATTCCTGACGGAATATTGCTCGTAAGTTGTGACAGAACATTAATCATAGACTCGTTCTTTTATTTTTATCTTTCCCTCGACAGAATTCAACCAGATTTGTCGCGTGAAGTCGCGATATCAGAACAGCGTTAGAAACGTATCCAAACAATAACTCTCGGACAACGCGCTGCCATTTATCACAATTCATTTGTCCAATTACTTTGAAAACGCAACGGTTGTTACGATTATTACTCGCTGGCATCGAGTTTATTCTACGTATAATAAAAGCGATATTTTCCTTCGATTCCTCGTTCGTAATGTTTCTGCAATAGTAAGGTATTACTCTCTAAATCTGAATCAGTGGATAATCACTGAGTCAGTGCCAAGTATGCCACTGGTAATCAGTGAATGAAATGTGAGATCCCTAACCTAACTAATCTTTATTACGTGATTTAACCTCGTTTGAATGCATAAATTTAATGAATATGGTATTGGAAAATTGAAATTAACATGCAAACCAGTATTTTTGTTGTATAATAAATAATGCTCAAACATTCTTCCTTTTTTAGTTGAACGTTACTGATTATTCAGTGCCAAATATGCCACTGGGTAATTAGTGACTATTCACTGATTCAGATTTAGAGAATAATTATCCTTATTATAGTGTGTCTTTAAGCCAACTAGCATTATTGCATTAATTATTAAATAAAAAACTGTAGTTTTATTTTATCTGCTTAAAATCAATATCGAAATCAATATTTTTCCACTATTTCTTTTTTTATAATATTTCTTTAATTAAAAAATATTAATGTTTTATAAGTGTGTTCCTCCAAAGAGCTGGCTCTATTAATGTGCCCCCAATTTGTGTGCCTATCCACATTTGACTCATTTTAACATATACTTACTAAGGCAGATAAGAGATATAAGCTACTTGTTTAAGTTAATATTGCATAACTCATTATTTTAATTATTACTTATGCAATTTCAATGTATACTTATAACAACGTTATGAGTAATACATGACATAATTAATTAAATTCAATAAAGACAAGTTCAAAATCTTGCCAACTATCTATTGGACTGAACTATCACGTAAATTCCTTTAAATTGTGATGTTATTTTTCGAGAAATATTTACTATACTTTAATAGTTAAAAAATAAAATATTCTCTTTGATATCATATACATAATTTAATTTAATAAAAAAATATTTTTTCTTACTTATTTGTGCTAGTTTTTTAAATTCATTTATTTAAATTCAAAGGTACACTAATAGGGACAATTACTCTAAACATACATACTACATATATATTTCGCACGACCACATACATATATATTTTTCACGAACGGTATAGGCCACATCACAGTTAAGAAAAAAACAAATCACTCGAGTATCTGAGTTTATAGGATGTTCGTCTAACAAAAATTTCAACGCGCAGTGCAAGATTTAGTGTGAAGCAACGAGGAAAACTCGGAGTTCCTTCCAGAAAGAGAGGAAGGTGGAGCAAGTTCTTCGACCACTTTCTTCAAACTCCTCGGCATCCTTCTTACTTTCATCATTAATACGAACTGCGTCGATCTAATTTCTGGGTTGGTTATGTACACGAATGAGAGCGGGGTTGCTATATCAAAAATGTGATTATGTGCTACATTAAACGATGTCTGCGGTATTTTCAGTCATCATTTTCGATAACGACTTTCGCAAGATGAAGCACTTAATGCAAACAAGAAGATTGAAAAAAAGAAGAAATATCTCGTGAAATGTTTACCACAAAATTTATTTCATACTTATCAAAGAATCTATGTGTATATAATCTGCGAAGTTCGCGTCATTAATCGAGAATCGATACCGCACAGTGTTATCAAAATAGAGAATTAAACGCGCCAAACTCGAAAGAATAGCAAAAAGGAGAAGAGCAAATGCATTTCCATCCGGTTGATGATTTAAACGGGCGCTGCGAAAATGAATGAAAAAGGTTGATGAAGGAGAATGAAATAGAGAAGGCGATAAGAACCTCTTTATTTCCTTTATCAGGCGATGCGAAAGGTGAGAGGGATTTTCTCGGCAAGTTACTGTATGTGCAGTATACGAGCAACTCGGCTGATTTGTACGCATATCGGAGACCTTTTCATAATCCTCCAGTGCTGGGAAAACGTGATCCGCCGGGAGATTTTTCATTCGCCGCGATGTATATGTACTTGAAAAGCCGACTCGTTTGAAGAGTACGGGGATTACTTACGACAAGTATAGAAATCGGAATTATGTCGCTTTTAATCATCGGCGATACAGTCTAGATTTATAAGTACGCGTTTCGCCTATATTTAAACATCTCCACTCGCTATTTCATATAACTGTTCTTCGAATCAATTCCTCGGATATTTCGAAGCTGACACAGATATATGTTTATAATTTATACGATTTAATCTTTAGTAGACAGAAATCTATTTTTAAATTTTTATAGCTTCTTCCTGAATAAGATTTATAATCATTTATTATTTGTACTTCTTGCTTCGAAATATCACAGTTTCAACGTCACTACAATGTTTTTCTCAATCTATAAAAGTTAATAAAATCATCCATTATCTTCTATCTTTTCCAATTGGGAGTAAAAGGAAAGATATCTTGTTAAGATGATGAATAGCTCATAAAAAAATATAAAATTTCGAACACGCGCATATATTTATTTTTGAAAGGGAAATGATCGATTTCCTTTTTCTAAAGTAGTAAAGTACATCGCTGTAGACGTCTACATTGAATAGACGTTTGCAAAGAGGGCTGCAATCAACAATAGAGCAAAATAATAATAGAGCGACGTGGTCGAAGTCGTAATTAAAATCTAATGCTATCAAGAACTTCCAACTTGAGATGAATTGTTGCGGAACACGCGACGTGATCGATCATCTACGGCGCATTACCGAATAAAAGCCTCATCGTGCTATCGTAGAATCCGCAACAAGCAAAGCAACGCGATTCGTTCGTAGTTCCATGTCAGGCTGTGCGTATTGCTTTGAATAGCAAGTATTTCGAGGAAAGAACGAGTCATTCTTATGTTTCATTCTTTTTGTCGAGAGATATAAAAAGTACGTGTATAATCATAATACTGGAAAGAATAACCTTTATAGCGTATTTTATTTTAACATCTAGCTTCTTTTTTTTTCTTACATTTTGTTACGATTATGACAAGTCATAAGACATTTACTGTGTAGTAAAATTAATAGTTTGAATAGTAATAATAAGAATTGCTCGGTCAAATGTATGAATCGTAAAATAAATCTTAGAATATTGTACATAAGTATATATATAATTACATATATTATTCCTTTATTATTTATTATGCATAATATTCTAAGGTTTTTCCAAAGATTATTCGATTTTCTTTACAGCTTTTACGTGTAAAAGTTGTAAAAAGGAATTTAAATAATTTCTGAGAAAGGATGATCTCTTACAATCTTCCATTTCCCTATGATTTCCAAATCTGTACAAAATCAAGAAGCTGTTTCATGAAATTGAAATAAACTGTCTATTGACACTCGTAGTAAATTAATGCCGAACTCATTAGTCCCTCTGACCGGTTCTGAGGACGATGCAAACAGAGAATATCTACCGGGTGTGACTCACCTCGAATGCAGAGCGCAGCCGCGCTGCACCGTGATGTAACTCGATGCTGATGGTGGCGGAGGGGGTGTGAGGTATGTCGACGGTGGTAGTTCATGTCTGTGGGGATGATTATGAGAATGGTTCAGGGAGCCTCGCAAAGTCCCAGGCAGATGGCGATGTGACTGCTCGCTGGAAACATCAACGAGAAAAAGATGTTAGTCAAGAGGATCGATACTGAAACTCTCGGGTGGTTATTCTTTTCCCACCGGATATATACCGGGTACAGATGAAGTCCTACCAATGGTCGATCGTGCAGAAAAGTGTCTACTGTCGGTAATACTGAACGCAAGATAAGAGTCGCGAAAATGCGACTCGTGTAGATATTAAAGACTCTCATAATAATTCATTTATATAAATTATTTCAGTAGTATTTTTTGCAAAAGTCAGGATACAATATTTTTTCTATAGAATAGGATAAATAAAATTATGGCGTTTTTTATTTTCTCAATAAAGAAAATATTCTATTTAAAATATTTTATTTAAATTTGTTTATACTAAAAACAATATAATTTATTACACTATTTTTTAGTACAAGTAAATTTACAAAACAGAATGGAATATTTTCTTAAATGTATTATAATTTATTATCTCGATGTGCTAAAAAACAAAAAGAGATATACATTCTTCTTATTCCTTTCTTGTAATAAATTATTTACAAATGTATGCGCGCAGGATAAAATTCTCTTAAATCTCGCAAACCCATAAATTTCATATAACAGTAAAACATTTGAAATTTTACATCTGAAATTAATTAATATTTGAGTCGTGTTGCTTTGTAATCTTGTTTTATTTCCCTGAACCATGTCACACGTTCTTCTTGTAATCAGTTTAAAGAGTTTTAATTCTTATCAGATAAAGTGTTATCGAATCAAACATGTTTTAAACCCTTTTTCACATCAGCGTTAATGCTTATTTTAGTAATGGTATCATGGTCTTTCTGTATATTTCAATATTATCAGTTATCGAGCAATATCAGTTAGATAAATGCTAAAGATAAGAAATTTTTTACATCGTTAGTAATAAAAGGGAAAAGATATAGATACATAAAAAGAAATAGGTAGTATGTTCCATATTAGAAGTTACAAATAATTTCGAATGTGAATTTTTCGAAAAAAAATTGCTAAAGCATTTCACAATTTTAAGATGAAAATATAATACAATAAATTTTTTATATATTTTTTAAACATCAACCAGTATTTAAAATTACCAGTATTTAAAAAATAGAATCATATAATTTTTGTATTAATACGCTCCTTTAGTTATTCCATTTGTAAAAATATTGATATAATGTTGATAATAATTATTAACAATTTAAAAGTTTCTGAGATATTATAGTTTACATTTTATGTAGTTCAAAGTATGTCAGAATAAATACTTTTATACATAAAATAATAAAATTAGTTGACATAAAAAACTATATTATATAACTCAAAAAAATTAGGGGATCAATTTTTCTCACTAAATTTTGAAACTGTATAATTAAGAAGAAATTTTTTGTAATGCATGTTTTTTGAAAGTAATTATATATTTTATTCAATTAATTAATCTTTTATTTTATACATAAAAATATAAAATTAAAATTATTAGAAAATAAATATTTTATATGATATTTTACGCACATGAAGATATATCAGAATAAAATATGAAATACCAATCTCTTGAACTATCGATTTTTTAATAAGCTTATTTTAATACCTTTATATGCAGAATATCAGAAGAAACATATTTCGTTATAAAATCGTATATTTCCATTTTAAAAATATCAATGAAATTAACATACAATAATGCGTAAAAAATGTGTTGCATCATATCTTCCTGCTTAAAATTGTGAAAGCCCTATTATACGTGAGTAATAATTTTTTTCAGAAAATTCGCTTTGTTAAATTTTGATTCTTAAAATAGAACAATCAAAAATTTTTGAATAATAAATCCAAAATGGCGTTCTTCAGTGTATAATTCACTTCTTTTATACAGTAACTATTAGTGCTAGAATGTTTTTTATAACTAAGAACACAACACATTTTTTTTTAACGTAACGGAATTTTTTAAATTCGATTTGTTTTCGCACCTGCCAGTAATTACATGCAGAGGAACGTTACATCCGGTCGCGAGACACCATCGCACCTGGGCCCCCTTTATTCAGAAATTCTGGTGGGGGTTGTATGCACAATAGGTGATTGTCTACATCCGGAAAGCTTTGCTATTTGTTCGAGACATTTCCATACATATTTGTCACAAATTTGATGTCTGTTTACAAGCGAAAGCATTAATCTACGAATTAACAGATTTTCTGGCAAATATAAATTTGCTTTCTGAGCAAAGATCAAGAGCAAATATAAATTTGCTTTCTGAGCAATCATCTCATATAAATGTATAAATGAGTAAATGAGATATATAGAGATATGATTATTGATCGTTCTATAAATGCAAACGAGTTAGTAAATTCTTGCAAATCGATATTTCACAAATTCAATCATTTAATTTATTTCAAATCTAAATTTTCAATAAGAAAAGAAAAAACTAGTTGCAAGAAAGATTTTAATTTTATCTAAAATAAACGTTTTCTAAGCATAACAATTGTATCCGTAATTAATATGTAACGTTTCTCACAGATAGATTAAGATTTATCTTAGTAACACGGAAATGTCAAAAGGAGCGAGTAAGTCTTTTTAACCAATAGAGTTCTTATCTGCCACTGAACTAATCTTCCCGCTTTCTGTCGTATCGCTATCATTTAGTTTTTTAGTCGACGAAAAAAAAGGGAGGGAAAAACGTATATCCGGTATACGTACAAGTGAACGCAATAGTTTTCACACGGAGCTCTAATAATAAGCTCGGTTCAAGCTTTATTCGTTTGACGATTAAAAATTTCTCGATGAAACTTCGCTGATGAGTTCTATGAGTTTTTAATAGACGATAATGATTCTGCAAGGCGAAACTTTGATCGTATACCATCGACTGGAATATATGTTCCGACATGTTGTAATGAAGCCGGGAGCGTAAACTTCTAAGAATAGCGATGCTTGAGACAAGATGAAGATTGACGTGCATTTTCGCGAAAGAGAGTGTAATTAGACGTCGCGTCGGCCGTTATCAAGATCCATGCACGTAACAGTGAATCGCTGAGTAATTAGGTGAACAAGAATAAACATGTACAACTAATTCAACGGTATCCTTTCCGTTTTAAATTACTTAAACAACGGAATGATCATTTCAAAAATAACTTTCTCCGAGAAAAGTTTGCGTACAGTTAAGTGAATGCACGCTTTAAAAATTAATTAAGTTAATAAATCCGTCAGAGTAAAACTCCGTTAGAGTAAAACTTACAAAGTTACCTAAAACGAAATTCGTTATTTATTTAAACAAACAGAAAATCATTATTAACAATAAATATAAACGTAAATTTATACGTAAATTTATTACGTACATATGCATGTCAAGTTTCGACAAGAACAATCGTAGATGGGAACTTTAGCTGATTATTTATTTCGTTCCATTCGTTAATAAAACATAAGTAAGAAGAGTAGGTCAACAAGCCAGCATAACGCAGATATCTACGTAATAATATACTACAGTACTAGTAACAGTGTAAACATAGAAACATTTCAACCTTTATTCGGATCTTTTCCAATTAAAGTACCGTTGCATTGTGACTGGCGGAACGTTTCAGCCTTTATTCAATTCCTTTTCAACCAAAACAAAAACATTGGTTATAGATTTTGTTTGAAAAAGACTAAATAAAATGAAAATGTATGTAACTTAGTATTGTATTAACACATGAATATTTGTGGTAACTTATATCAAGCTTAATTATTCAGACTTTTTAAGAATCGCACCTGCCTATTTCTTTTTTTATTATGTTTTTTTATGTGTGTAAAACTTGCATTTCTTAACGGTTTATGCAGCAGCATCGATAGTCTTAAACTTAATCCCTTTGTATGGGAATTTTTGCAAGAGATTTAAGACTCCTGACTAATCACTATATTAGATCGTGACACGTCACAAGCAAGAAATGACTGAAGTTTTTTAAATGTCATTTATAAATAAAGAAAATTTGATAAAATAATGAGATTATTTTTTAAAATTCTTGTAAAAATTGACAAAAACTATCCTTATTCCGTCTCTCAACAGTCAGTAAATAGTCGTAAAAGACACATGAAAGTGAAAATAGGCTACGCATTGAGTAAATGCACTTCACGTGCCTTTTGTCATCTTTTATGACTATTTACTGACTGTCAGGAAGAGGGAATAAGAATAGTTTTCGTTTCATTCGTTCATTTTTACAAGAATTATAAAGCAATTTCATTATTTTGTTTTATCAGAATTCTCTCTCTTTACTTACAAATGGCATGCAAGAAACTTAAATGTGTCATTTCTTGCTTATGACGTCACAATCTAAGATAGTCACGGAAACTAGTCAGGAGTAACTCAAGAAAAGTTAAAGCGCGAGAATTCGTTACATCCAAAGAACTGGCACAGAATGAGAGATTAGATCGACACGGAGAGCTTAAAAATGCAAGCTCTAAATCTACTACGAATCCACTCGTGCTTGCGATGTAATTCAGGATCGTCGTGCGAGGATTCTTGAAAGAGTTCATCGCGCAAATGTTTAACGAAAAGTCACTGACTGAAAAACGCGAGGAGCGTTTTCATGTATCCGCGCAATTTGCTCGATGCAGCACGTCCGTACAATAAGTTATGAGCGAGCTGAGCAAAAGAAGAAGGGTAAACGAGCGAAGCTGGTTCGAGACAGGAGGGAAGATTGTGAAGTATTTCTGCGCGTATAAATGTTTCAAAGTGGCAGCAAAGACACGTTTTATTTCAGGCCACAGAGCGTGCGCCTGGAACTTTACATTTTACGAAGTTGAAAAATTATAACTTGCATTCTCTGCAAATATTCTATAAAATAGGAGTATATGAATAGTACAATGTAAAACGCGCAAATCAAGAGGCGAGAGAGAGAGAGACTTCAGAACGTAAAAACTTTCGTCTTTCTCTCTTTTTTTTACAGTCGTTATACTGTTATAAACGAGAGTCGCTTGTGAAACATTAAGTTTCACGTTGCGGACGGTTGCATTTTGTATGAAAAAACTCATGTGCACGTCATTACATTAAATTTAATTTACTGC